GATATGTTTATCTTGATGTGGATGAATAAGGCGATGTGGGTTTTATACCAATTTTGATGGGCGATGATGATGTTTTGTTGTGTCGTGTTTGTGATGTCGTGTTGTCGAGTCACATACATTGCATTGGCGACGAGGGCTTTTATGCCAACCGACGGTGGCTTTTATGCCAAAGCGACGATGGGCTTTTATGCCGAATGTCCCTAATTATGGACAAAGCGACGAGTACCACATGCATAACATAGTCGTGTCTCATGGAGTCGGTTATGTTTATTTTTGAGTCTTTTGGCGTTGAGTTTTATTTCATGGCTTATGATGAATTGAGATGATATATGATACTTTGTTTTGTGATGATTTTCGTGTTGAACATAAAGTGAATATTGTGCGATAATTTCATGATGAGTAAGCGATGAATATAACATGACGGTAAAGCGACGATATGAGTTTATGGCGATGAAGTTTATGTCTTGTTTTGGTATGATTATGATGATTACGTGACGAAATTAAAGTGTTGATTTTATACACTAAATGATGATTTAAAGTGTGTGAGATTTGGATATGTGCTGACATACTCTTATTAATCCTATATCATTTATGATTCCAAAACTATTTATATATTTTATCATGCCTTTAATTATATGTTTTGGAGTATCTCACCCTTTACTTGTTTCGCCGTTGCCTTTATATTGGTAACGTGCAGGTGATCCGCGAGGATGGTGAAGATTAACTCGAGTCTCTTTATTTTGAGTCGCTCTGCTCTGATAGTAGTAACACTCAGGATTTGGGCGATGTTATTATTTTGATAGGATAGTTTATGTATACTATCTTATGACCTTATGTATTGATGATAACATGATGATCCGTACATTTTGTGAACACATCCGCTGTGTTGTGATTAGTCATATGTTTATATGATGATTTATGTTATAAATCGGTATATCCGACTTTTGATTTTGTGATGTGCATTATAATGCAAAGTGATGAAAAACACGAATATGTGATACCTCAATTTATGTTTGGATAAAATTTTGAAACTCTGATTTTATTATTAATTACGAGGGGTAGAATTGGGGTGTTACAATTATTCCTTGAGAGACTAGGGTATAGTCAATTTCTCAAGAAGATATTGACAGGTAGTCTTTATGGATTGTAATCAGTTTGGTTATCGTAGATTAATTCCTTGTTGAGAAAGACACGATCACTTTGGCGGGTGGGCTGGATTAACTCCATTAACAGTGAACCAGGATAAGAATAATTGTGTTCATTTATTTTTGTTCTTGTTTCATCTTTGATTGTGTAGGGTAGAAAAAATTTCCAAACTTGGAACCCAATTCAAACTCCTTTTTCTTGTATTTCATGTACTTTCACCCAAGGTATCAAGAAGTATTATTTGGGTCTTCTAGATAAATCTAAAAGGTTTCCCTTAATTTCTAAACCTTATTTATCCCTATTGCTCAAAAACTCTAAAATTGTCCCACTATAATAACAAAAGAGATACATATTTATAATTGCTAAAACCCAACAAATCCATAACAAAGCCGAAAACAAAACTCATTAATTGTTAGAATAAAATATTATAAATATCGTATAATATCTTTTTATATTAATTTAGATTATTTATAAATTAATATATATTCAATATTATAAAATTAAATAAACGAAACTGCAACTGAACCGTTCAAACCCAATATTCGTTAATCGCTCGAACTGGACATTCTTGCTGCTTTTCGGTGCATCTAAAATTTGACAATCTTGAAATATGTTTTCTTTTTCTTCGTCACTTAAGGTTTTAAGGCATACTTTAACAATCTCCACCTTGATTTGAAACCATGGTGATTCTAATTTACCCATCCATCAACATGCTGCTCCCTACCATGTTGAAACTTTAATCAATTGCCTCGATCAAATTCAAGACACCCTTGAATCTTGATCTCGCCGCTTACATCCACTTGTTTCCAATTACTTTTTTTTTGCCTAGACAATCTAACAAGCCCACAAGTATGATTATTCAACAATCATTGACTCCACATGCCTTCAAAGGCATCCATGAAAGTCATTGTTTCAACATTTTGCAACCCTTTAGCCACATTCAAAATATAACACCCAAGGTTAGCATAATCGTCCCTTTGAGATATTATAATCTCCCTCCTTACCTTATCACGAGTCAGATGATAATCAGAGATCTTTGTAGTTATTTCCTCACTACTAGTATCCATAATAGAAAATTCCACCTCAAACTGAGTTCTCTCCATTATAGTTTCTAAAAGGTTTATTCCTTGATTTTTACTATTCTTCTTCTGAAGAAATTCTCTGCCAACAAAGTAAGTTGCTTTGACATCAACTCTTTCCCAAAAACTTAATAACAACTCAGTGGTCACACACATTTTTATCCCTTTTCCCTATGATAGACCCCACTTGTTGTGAAAATGACATGGTTCAATTTCAATCAACACTTTGATATGTGGAGACAAAGAATAGTAGTAACAAAAATAAATGGCCTTCAGCAATAATAATCAATAAGTAGAAAACATAATAGAATAAAGCGAGAAAAGACGAAAGATTTATTTACACAGTTCAATCAAAAGATATACATTTGGGGGAGAGAGCAGCTCTCTAATTCACTATACTCAGAAAACTGTTATAAGAGATTACAAATAAGTTATAAGAAAATAGCATTCGCCTTCAGAGTTCCCTAGAACAAACCCCGAAAGCTCCAAAAAATAAACCCATATTTTCTATCAAAGTGTTTCCCAACCTCTCAAACTCTCAATATATGAATCACTCAAACCCAAGGTATCAAGAAGTATTGCCCGACCCTTCTAGATAACTCTAAAAAATTTACGTTGATTTCTAACTCTTATTTCTTCCTATTGCGCTAAAGCTCTAAAATTGCCATACAGTAATAATAAAAGATATATATATATATATATATATATATATATATATATATATATATATATATATATATATATATATTTATAATTGCTAAAACTCAATATTCAATATTCTAACATTAAATAAATGAATCCGCAAATCGAACTGGCCAAACTCAATATCCACAAACCGCTCAAACCAAACTTTCTTGATACTTTTCGGCATCTTGAATTTTGGAAATATTGAATTTTGGGTATCTAGAATCCAATAAAAACTTGTGCATTATACATACCATAGACTTTACTTATACTATAAGTAACAGTTGTATCTACCATTTATAGTCAATATTGAAATTACATCAAATACTCTTGTTCATTATAGATATACATTCTAGTAGTTCAAGTAAAAAAAAAAAGTCTATTTTTTTATTATCATTTTGAAATTTACTCTTAACAAGACCATCAATAACTTTTTTCCTATAACATCCTAAGTTATTTCATTTATTTTAATTTATTCAATAAATAACTAAAAATATTTAAAAATAATAATAATCAATGAATTAAAATTAAATAAAAAGGACAAACAACAATTAATTAGTATAAATTATTTTTCAATAAATACTACAAAAACAAAAGAGTACAAGTTGATAAAACTAAGGATGGTTTCTTCAGCAGTGAAGATTAAAAAAATACTGCTTTCGTTTTACAATAAATGTGTTCTCTTTGATATTTTCACACTTTTTAAGATAATGATTAATTATGTTCATTTCAATGTTAAAATGAATTGCATTTACTAAAATAATCAATGGAATAATTATATGAATAAAAATATAATAAATAAGGATAAATTAGTGGAAAAAAATAATAAATATGGTATTCTATTGTGAGACAGAGGGATTAAAAGCGAATCTATGGGTTTGTACCATTTAATAATTGTTAATGTAATGCAAACTTTCTTCATACATGATGTTAGATTCTACCAACATAACAAACATGGAGATGTAGTGTGCAATCAAGAACAATGTTACTAAAGTAATTTCTTTGAAATGATTTTTGTCCTTTTGGTTATTCATGATTTTTATGCACTTGGAAATGATTGTTACAGTAACTTATATATTGATTTTACAGTTAATTGGAAACGCTCCCATGGTTTATCTGAACAAAGTTATGGAAGGTTGTGTTGCTCAGATTGCTGCCAAGTTCAATGAAACCTTGTTCAAGCGTCAAAAGAGTTTACTCTTTGTTTTCCGCTGTCATAAACTAGGTTTTATTGTTTCTTTTTTTATATTTGATTTTTTCTCTATGCTATATCACTGAAATATAATCGGAAATTCAATTATTAGGGAAAAACATTTGTGTAGTCTCATAGAAGTGAAGATGTAGAATAGTCTATCATGTTCCATATTGGAATTAGAGTTGATCGAAAATACTAGATTCACAGTTATAATTAGTGAAAAGCTGACCTGTAAGGTTAGCACTCCAACGCTCAAATTAGTAAGAGAGTGAAAAGTAGAATTTGAATGAAAATGATTTGAATACCTGTGAAGTGGTGCACACTTTCCTCTTTAAATAGAGGAGATGGTTGATGATTGTACGCGTGTGGAATGGTGTGAGATGCGATTAGCTGCTGGATTAGTTTGAGCTGTTAACACGCCCTTCTCGTGAGGGGTTACCTGCAACACGAAGGAAAAAAAGTATACCTATTCCGCGTTTAGTAGTTTGTTACTCCGTGATTGGGCTTCCATTTTCTAGGCTTGCTGGCGACCTTGAACATATCCTATTCACAACTTAGAAATATAGATATTTTCTATAAGAACCATGGTAGAACTAGAAATAATGTAGAGTTGTGATTACAAAGAAGCTGTACATTTTAGCTTCCATTTGGATGTGTGAGGAAAGCCTTTTGAACGCATAAACAAACACACTCTTAGTGGAAAAAGGCTCGGTTATTGTCATTGTATTGGTACAAAAGTTTTTTTTAGCTTACATCCCGACTCTTGATTTGATAGGAGTTTTATTTGAAAAGCTGAAGAGGCTATCGAGTAGAGCTGATATTTGAAAAGCTTGGTTAGGTAAATGGAGACTTTATAACTATTATTTGGAAATTTGGGATGCAGGATATCATTGAGCATGATTGAAGATGCTGAGGATAAGGGTTTTATTACACCAGGGAAGGTTAGTAATACAATTCTTGTTTTGAAACACTTCTTTTTTCCCGTAACCAACCATGTCTAGTCATTAGTAATGCCATGCTCGGTGTTGAAGTTTCTGAAATGTGATTTTTCTTTTGGCCGGCTGTGGACATGGTGGCGAAAGACTGTTCTTGTCGAGACTACAAGTGGGAACACTGGAATTGGGTTGGCCTTCATTGCATCGCTTAAAGGTTATAGACTTGTTTTAGCAATGCCAACTTCAATGAGCCTCAAGAGAAGTATTTTGCTACGTGCTTTTGGAGCTGAGCTACATATCACAGATCCTGCCAAGAGGTTTAATGGTAGTCATATAAAAGATGATGAAATAGAGAAAGAGATATCTGATGCTTTTATGATTCGTCAATTTGAAAATCCTGCAAACCCAAAGGTAATTTCATCTTGAGGTGCTGTAATGTTCTAAGTAACTCCATTTGTCTCACAACAATGACTGATATACTTATTTATTTTACACATACTAAAAAAGTTCTATAAATTAATGTTATGTTGAAAATTAAAAGTCACTCTCGTTTAAAGATGTTTTTTTTTTTTAAATGTGTCACTTGTTGTAGGACGGAGGAGTAACACTATGAAACTACCGACCCTGAGATATGGAGAGACTCTGGAGGGAAAGTTGATGCTCTTGTAGTAGGTGTAGGAACTGGTGGTACAATAACAGGATGCAGGGAAGTTCCTCAAGGGGAGAAACCCGGAAATCAAGGTTATTTTTGTTTTTGTTTAGTAGCCTAGTGGTTGAAATTTCACCTCTTAAAGGTGAATAAGTAGGATGTCGCGGGTTTGAACCTGCACGCTCCCTACAGTCGGATGTCCATACATAGCTATTATCAACTAAGCTGGTTTAATGGGAAAAATCTAGGTTCCTTTTTATGTCGCATGAAATGCCTGCGTGGAGTGTCTATGGAGGGAAGATAGTTTAAATTATTTTGAAGTTGGAATTTTCTTTAAGATGCTAATGATGTGCATTTTCATCAAGGTCTATGGAGTGGAACCAGTTGAAAGTGCAGTTTTGAGTGCAGGACAGCCAGGTAAAATTCTATACTATAACTTCCAACGCTTATGTTAAAATTCTTTTATCGGCAAATGTTAATATATTAGTTGTGATGTTTGTACTTTCCCCTCCAACTCCTTAAGCTCGTAGTATTTTCTTCCTAAAATTCTTTGGTATAAATCTTAGAGAAGCCTATATCCTTCATTGCATCTACCAAACCAAATGCTATGATTTTTTAATCATGGTTTAATCAACTTGCCGAAATACATACTCAAATTCCATTCGTTATTCATATTTTCCTCACTAGACAGTCATTCGTCTTTTCCTAACCGGATGTGTTACATGTATGTGTTAAAGGCATGCATTTGATTCAGGGAATTGGTGCTGCCATTGTTCCTGAAGTACTGGATGTTAATCTCCATGATGAAATTATTCAGGTTACATTCCATATAAATGAAGGTTCCTAATCCTCATGTAACACAATTGCTAATAAACTTTAGGTACTTTTTTTTAATGATTATGTTTGCTGCTTGAAAATTTGGATGATACTTGTATGTTCTCGGTTTTCTATCTTTTTGATATTTTTTTCTCAGGTATCAAGTGAAGAAGCTATAGAAACTACTAAGCAATTAGCACTAAAATAAGGTTTACTGAATTGCTGGTATGGCCATATTTGTTCTTTTTGGCCATTTCCTGCAGTAGGACTTCAATGTTTTTCAACTTATACCATCTCTTTATGTTAAAAATGATGTTTCCCCGTGTTTTAGGTTGGGATTTCGTCAGTAATAAAATTGGGAAAAAGGCTAGAAAATACTGGCAAACTAATCGCTGTACGTTTACATATCTCTCAACAATTCTAAGCACAATTCAAGAATGATATATCCACAATTATTAAACTATTTGGAATTTAAAAAAAAATAGAATTTTAGTATACCTCAAATTACTAATGTATATGTTAGGCGTAGGCCCAAGGCCAAGTAAGTTAGGCCCAAACTATTTAATTAAATGTAATGTATTTAAGTAGAATAAAGAATGAGAAAGTCTCATTCAGTTTGTTATTTGGTTGGTTTGGTTTGGGAGAGACTAGGCTCTCTAATCCTAGAGGTTGTATACAGTTTATTATGTTTATATAATTGTTGTTGCAGTTATAACTGCTACTGCATGAAGTTATTTCGTGCATAACTGCAATAAAGTATTGTGTTTGGTTTATTATTCTCTCCTTATCTATCAATACTATTCAGAAAATATCATTGATATCAACGACAATGATCCTTGGCACTGGTTCATGGTCCACATGCATCGCAAAATGGAAGCAAGATTGGAATTTCTAGAAAGGGCGTATGAAAGTTTTGTCACAACCAGGGAAGAAATTTAGGAAATGTGCAATCTGATGGAAACTCAGAAATATGAATCGCAACACCGAATTGACAAATTAAGGAACTTCTCAAAACTGTTAGCGGTCTCACCATTTGCAATGACAACCTAGGCTACGATACCCATGTAATTGGATAGCATCTTCGCAACTCTGATGAAAAATGGCAGAAACTTACGATTCCCAAATTCGAGGGTCAAGATGCTTTTGGGTGGATTAATTGTGTAGAGCGCTATTTTGATTTAAGGGGTGTCACTGATGTGGAAAAGGTACAGGCTGCAATGATAGCCATGGAAGGAAAATCACTCACTTGGTAGCAATGATGGGAATTTTGTTCGCCTTCACCATCTTGGGACGCTTTTAAGGATGTTTTGATTAAGCGCTTTCAACCGTCAATGCTTCAAAGTCCTTATGAACTGCTCATTAGCCTTAAACAAATGGGTTTGGTGGAAGAATATTGTGACCGATTTGAATTGTATGCATGCCCACTTAGAAGTGCAGAACCAGATTATCTTAAGGGAATTTTTATCAATGGGTTATGTTGCACCCCAAAATTTTCGCTCCCATTTTTCTTCAAGACTTTCTCATGAGGTCCTCATTTGCTCAAGGATGCTCAAGAGTTGATCAGACAAATTCTCCTCCTAGGAAATGGGCCCATAACTAGGGTTTCATATTGCACAAGAAAGAATTGGTTTCAAGGGTCTCAAGTGATTTCCATGGTTCTCCATAGGTCTTCAACAATTCTCATGTCATGTTTCAAGCCTTGCATCACAAGTTTGCTCAGTCAATTGCTCAGATGATTGAAAATCTATTGTATTGGATAAAAAATCAACTATGGTCAACATACAGTCAAACATCAACATTTTTTGTCAACATTAACATTTTGAATTGATACTCATCATTTGATCAAGGGTTGATCATGATTCCTCAAGAAAAGCCATCAAATCATCAAAAGTCAAAAGTTGCCAAATTAAGGTTTCCTTAAAAGAAGTCAACTGGATTTTGACCAAGCATAACTTTCACATGCTTCATCAACTTTCCCCCAACCAACGTCCATTTTGAAGGAAATTCAATTCCTTACAACTTTGTATCTGTATGATCAAGTCCAAAAAGAGCTTCATTTGAGAGATATGAGCTAATATATTGCAGGTCATTTCAAAAGTCAACAAGAAGACACTTTTTGTCAAGGCAACTTACATTAAGATAAAGTCTTCAAATGCAAAAATGATAAAAATAGAGATTGTAGAGGCCATCTTGAGCTTTCCAAAAAGTCAAAGATCGCCTTCAAAAGATGAAAATTTGGAGAGTCATGACCAGTGCAAGTTGGGAAGTTTTTGGTAAAATGCATGAAATGCAAAGTGAGCAAACTTGAAATTTTGAACTAGTGGGCCTAACTTTATGTTCAAACATGTTCCCAATGTGTTAAAGGACCTCTAAATCCATTCACATACTTTTTTATGATTTTTATTTCTTTTATTTGAAATTTTATTCATTTAAGTGCAAATAAATCAAATAAAATGTAAAAGCATTGGGCCAAGGCGCATGGGTTGTTAATTTCAATCACATGGAGGCCCAAGAACACATGACAAAAATGCAAAAACCGTGAAATCATGTTGGGAACAAGAATCTTCAAGTTTAAAATGTTTTTTTAACAATTTTGGAAAGGTTTCAATGTGTTTTTTTGCAATGAATTGTGACATGATGGTACAAGATTCTTGTCTTGTTCTTGTTCCATTTGATTCCTCTGTAAATACATGCAATACTCAAGTGCAAAGGGCACAAAATTTGCCTCTCAAGAACACACTCCAAATTTCTCAAATTTTGTCAAAACTAGGGCAAACACAAACCCCTATTTACGGCCACTCTCAAACGATTCCAAGCATTCCATCATACTCCTAAATTCCCAGGAGCCTATTCCAATCCTTACTCATGCTCACACGATCCCAAGATGTGCCAACCAAGTGGCTCTGGCTTGGTAATATTCTTCAATCTCAAACTTTTCATCCATGCTATATAAATTAATTCTAAGCATATATATGTGTTTCTACTGAAGTCTGGAACCGTTTAGAACCATCGTTTTTTTGAGATTTGATGCAGGAACAAATTAGTGGATATGAGTGGTTTGATTTTGTTGTTTGAATCTATAGCTTCGGGTCTATAGCTACAGTCACTTTTAGACCAAATAACCTCACCACTAGATTCACAAAGTCCAAATTAGTGGATCTGAGTGGTTTGATTTTGTTGTTTGAATCTTTTTGTCAATAATCAATTTTGACATCTTTTTAAATAAATTTAATTAACATTTTTCTTTATTAAAATTAATTAGAAACAAGTAGGTTTTAATTATTTAATTAACATCAAACTATTTCCATAAAAATACACACAAAAAAACATTTCTTTTCTAACATTCTCTCTTTTTTTTTTTTGCTATTTAAAATTCCTAGAGAAATCGTATAGGTCGCACAGTTTAAATGTAACAAATTAGATTTACATTTTCGAACTTTTTCCTAATTATGTAACTATATCAAAGCCATGTATTAGTTGTAGGCCTTTACTTTCTCGCACTTTACTTTCCGCACCTTTATTTTTCTGCACTTATAATTATATGCCTGTATATATATAATTAGTAAGTAGGCTTATATGGCAAGATTTAAAATCAATCAGTAGATAACTCCTAACTAATCAAGATAATATAACTGAACTGAACACATTATGCACACATACACCTCTAGGGTAACCTCCCTTGTTGCCTTCAGATAAAAAACAGTCACATCCCTCTAACATAAGAATACCATTAGCAAAGACCCTCGGTTAAAAATTATCATAAAGATCATAGTCCCTCGATCACCCATCGATGTTGCCTTTAGTAAATGATCTTGTCCCTCGATGTTGCCTAGGAATACATGATGATAGTCCCTTCGAATTGCTAAAGTTATCCCTATATGTTTCCTTTATGACTGTACGATCACCCACGCCTATCCCTCAAACATCCAACGATACGACTTCCTACTAACTAATGGTAGGAAAACACTATCTAAAGGAGAAGGAAAAGAACAAAAGACTTTTGAGTAGGTAGATAGTTCTTAATCGCTTGCTCACGAACATTTCAAAACATTTTTCACACAATACACTTATCTTATGAAATATTTTCAAAAAACAAACACTTTATGCACCCCTCACCGAGAACATGACCAAGAAAAATCCTGAAGACAACAAGGATGATCAGTTGGAATAATTGCTAGCTAAGATGACAAATATGATAATCCAGATGATGGGTCATATGGCTCTTATCTAAAACTTAGCTCGAGGACAAAAAGAGTTAAGAATTCTCATCAGCAAACTTTATCAGGACGAATACAACCGTATGGGACGAACAGTTAGAATTAGGGACCAAATCATTAATCAACCTTCGATGAGACAGGAAGTTGGCTTGGTTAAAAGTAGGCATTTCTGGATTGCTACTACATAGCAAGCCCAACAATGACCCCACCGTCAACAGAAAGGCAATCAGCATAGGTTGGATGCACCTAAGAGACAATTTACTAAGATCAACATGCCATTGTCCCAGGCACTGCAACACCTGTTAAAGGCAGAGCTGATAACATTGAAGGGTCCTCCTCAGGATCCCAACACCTTCTCTCCTCGGTACAATCCTAATGTGAGATGCACCTATCATTCCAATAGTCCCGGATATGACACAAATAACTGTTGGGCTTTGAAAATTAAAATCCAAGATTTGATTGATGCTAAGGAGATTGAGTTCAACCCTCTTGAGACCCCCAATGTGATCACTTCTCCATGCCAAATTATGGCCAAGATTGAGAGTGTTTATTTCATTTGAATTTTCAAATTGTAATTTCTTTTGATTGTTCGAACACTTATTTTATGTCAAACTTTGTTATTCCATTAATGCATTGCATATGTTTGGCTTGAAGTAATCCATTCGTTTTGACTATATTTAAACTATTCGTTTACTTCCTTTTTATGATATTCAACTCTCAATTAAAAGATGTAAGCCTTTAGAGGGAGGATGACGAAAATAATACCATAATCTCTACAGTATGCTTTGGAACAGACCCTGTTGACGATGTACATGTGTTATTTCAAATCCTAAAAAGTGGAGTTATAAGGAAGATAATATCTAGTCAACCTCGTTGAGCCTAAGAAGTAGGGGTTTTCTTTTTCACACAAATTGAAACCTTTAATCATAATCTGAGACGGGGTAGTTTCTCAGTTAATTCAAATGCGCATTCAGTCACAAGTTATACCTTCATACACGACGAATAGTGTCGAAGATGCTCTTCTAAATCAAAATACAATGATGGTTCCCCGTAGTCACTAAAACAGGCAGTCATCATCTCTCAAAAGAAAAGCCCGCTAAGTCAAAACCTATGAAGGAGACTTAGGACAAACTGGGGTATCCTGCTGACCGTGATCTCAAAACAGTTCAGGAAAAAATAGGGATAATAAAGTAAAAAAAGAGGTCGCTACGAATCCTCAACAAAAAAAATATTACAAAAAAATGATGACTGCCTTCTCAAATAAACTTTCGGCATCTGAACCATCACCAGAATATTAGGGCAAAGATTCCAGACTCAATTAGAATCTAAACGCACAATTAACTGAGTATAAGACTAAAGAACATCACGGAGAACGGGTGGGTACAAATAAAGTTTGAGCCTTTATCCTTTGTTTCTTAAACTGTGAACCTGGCCACGTTATAACCCTTAAAAGTCCTAACTGAAGCATATGTTAGTTTAAAAGCATATTGTTACAAAAAGGTGTCCTGACTCCTATAAGGCTTACTACAAATTCTGAGTTGAATTCATATTCTTACAAAATTATATTTTTTTTACTAAAAATGCATTTTCAAAACTTCAAAACAGACATAAGCTTTGCATTTTTAATACCATTGTTTGCATATGACTATTTGTTTGGCAGCAGAGAAATTCGCACGATGAATGTTCAATAAATAGAAATCCCTTCAATAGGACATAATCGCTTCTAATGAAAAGAAATTTCCAGTAACATGCCTTTCATAATCAAGGGGAATGGCATGGTGTCTAACTGATCTGGGGCAGTCAAGTCAATATTCAAAGAATCTCTCAAAGGTGCTGAATAGCCAGGGGAAGACCTCCATATGAATCACTTGGGGCATTGCGCATGGGTTCCATAAAGGGCCACGTGCGATCAAGAAAACATTTTCTGGCATGCTACAACACTTACAGTGAAAATTCTTCGCACCCTATGAACACATACTTAGTTGAAAAATACTACACATGAAAGAGACCCGCTAGGTTGATAGGCTTAAGCAAAAATAAGGGCATCCCGGCGAACCAAAAAGGTTCAGAAAAAAGTTAGGGATATATATATATATATATATATATATATATATATATATATATATATATATATATATATATATATATATATATATATATATATATATATATATAATTTGTACACCCGACAAGTCGAAAACCTGAAAGGGCGGCTTGGGCAAAAAAGGGTATCTCGTTGGGCTGAAAATCTGAAAAGACAGTCCAAGCAAAAGTAGGGGATTAAAGTGTACGACTTGTCCCGTCATATCATCACTTTTCTATCAATGGAAGGCTTATCACTCTGATCTGCGTTTACCAAGAACTCTAGGAGTCGAGAGGATATTCAAGTCATCCGTAAATCCTCACAGAGAAGTTTCCACAAAATTATCTTTACAAAGCTATCTGCACAAGCTCATCTTTAACAGAGATACTTTCCCTGCAAGTCTAATATGCCTTCAAGATAGAAATTGGGGAACCTTCCAGTTGTTAACATGATCATACTCACCAGCAGATCACCCTAGCAGATAAAGGAATATGATCTTTTCCCTGATAATATCACCAACCTACGGAGCCCCAATCTCCATCAGAGATTACGACATCAGTACAGTTTATGGAAATTATCTTCCCCAGCTGAGCTAATTCCTCCAAAACTGTAAAACCCCCTGCAAATTTCTTTCCTCCAGCAGCGTTCATTTCCTCAGCAAGAGTATTCCTCAGTAAAGTGTTTCTCCAGTAGGTTTAGGGTTTATTTCCCCAACATGGTTTATTTCCTCAACAGATTACGGTCTCCCCAGTTTGAGTCTATTTCTCTAACTACCACAAATTACTGGCAAAGGAAAGTCTGAGTTGCTATCCCCAAAGAGTTGCTACTGAATCAGAAACTAGACCAGGTATCGTTTAACCTTATTCTCTCTAGATAAGTCGGCATCCATATCAGAAACCCCGCCGGACAGCACCTAGAAAGGTTATCCATCTATTTTACCCTCAGTCAGGGTATATAAGAATTAAATTCCTCATAAAGCGAGGAATGACCAATGTTCCTGCACTCTTCTATCTCCAAGCAGAAGTCAAACATTCCCAGCGGAGTATCCTCGAAATAGAAAGTAGGAATCCCCAACATAGACACTCTAAACAAGACTGAAGACTCATATTCTTCATCCCTAACAACAGTCAGGGATTTATTTTCCCAGACAAAGATGTTGCACGAAGTTACTAATACACTTCAATGACATCTCACATTCATGCATCATTTACAAGTATCATAGCATAGCATATAAAACACATATGACACTCTCGTTTACTTTGAGAGCATCATTACACAATGCATTACATACGTCATGACATTGCATAAAGACTAACTTTGTCTTTTTAGGTAAAGTCTACAAATAAATTAATATCATCAACAATTTTCAAACAGGTCAAAGATTAGTTCCTGAAGCAAGTCGGGGCAACTTATCTACATGACTAGGTCAAAGATTAATTTCCAAAAATAAGTCGGGGCAACTATCAAAGGCCAAGTGGTATGAATTACCGAAACATGATGGTTTTACCATTGAAAGAGAATTGTAGATCAATTCGCAAAACAAGACGGGATGACCATTTGCATGACACAATGACTTCCTTCAAAGATTTACTCTGAACAACATCTCCTAAAAAACATTTCCCCGGAGACTGAATTCCGACAAGCATTTTCTCAGAGACTGAATTTCGACAAGCATTTCCTCAAAGACTGAATTCCGACAAGCATTTCCTCGGAGACTGAATCCTGACAAGCATTTTCTCGGAGACTGAATTCTAACAAGCATTTCCTCGGAGACTGAATTTCGACAAGCATTTCCTTGGAGACTGAATTCCAACAAGCATTTCCCTGGAGACTGAATTCCGACAAGCATTTTCTCGGAGACTGGATTTCGATAAGCATTTCCTCAGAGAGTGAATTCTGACAAGCATTTCATCGGAGACTGAATTTTGACAAGCATTTCCTCAAGGAGGAGTAACACTGTGAAACTACCGACCCTGAGATATGGAGAGACTCTGGAGGGAAAGTTGATGCTCTTGTAGTAGGTGTAGGAACTGGTGGTACAATAACAGGGTGCAGGGAAGTTCCTCAAGGAGAGAAACCCGGAAATCAAGGTTATTTTTTTGTTTTTGTTTAGTAGCCTAGTGGTTGAAATTTCACCTCTTAAAGGTGAATAAGTGGGATGTCGCGGGTTCGAACCTGCGCGCTCCTACAGTCGGATTTATATCGCATGAAATGCCTGCGTGGAGTGTCTATGGAGGGAAGATAGTTTAAATTATTTTGAAGTTGGAATTTTCTTTAAGATGCTAATGATGTGCATTTTCATCAAGGTCTATGGAGTGGAACCAGTTGAAAGTGCAGTTTTGAGTGCAGGACAGCCAGGTAAAATTCTATACTATAACTTCCAACGCTTATGTTAAAATTCTTTTATCGGCAAATGTTAATATATTAGTTGTGATGTTTGTACTTTCCCCTCCAACTCCTTAAGCTCGTAGTATTTTCTTCCTAAAATTCTTTGGTATAAATCTTAGAGAAGCCTATATCCTTCATTGCATCTACCAAACCAAATGCTATGATTTTTTAATCATGGTTTAATCAACTTGCCGAAATACATACTCAAATTCCATTCGTTATTCATATTTTCCTCACTAGACAGTCATTCGTCTTTTCCTAACCGGATGTGTTACATGTATGTGTTAAAGGCATGCATTTGATTCAGGGAATTGGTGCTGCCATTGTTCCTGAAGTACTGGATGTTAATCTCCATGATGAAATTATTCAGGTTACATTCCATATAAATGAAGGTTCCTAATCCTCATGTAACACAAAATTGCTAATAAACTTTAGGTACTTTTTTTAATGATAATGTTTGCTGCTTGAAAATTTGGATGATACTTGTATGTTTCCGTGGAAGGATTTGGTTCTCGGTTTTCTATCTTTTTGATATTTTTTTCTCAGGTATCAAGTGAAGAAGCTATAGAAACTACTAAGCAATTAGCACTAAAAGAAGGTTTACTGAATTGCTGGTATGGCCATATTTGTTCTTTTTGGCCATTTCCTGCATTACTGCAGGACTTCAATGTTTTTCAACTTATACCATCTCTTTATGTTGAAAATGATGTTTCCCCGTATTTTAGGTTGGGATTTCGTCAGTAATAAAATTGGAAAAAAAAGCTAGAAAATACGGACAAACTAATCGCTGTACGTTTACATATCTCTCAACAATTCTAAGCACAATTCAAGAATGATATATCCACAATTATTAAACTATTTGGAATTTTAAAAAAATAGAATTTTAGTATACCTCCAATTACTAATGTATATGTTAGGCGTAGGCCCAAGGCCAAGTAAGTTAGGCTCAAACTATTTAATTAAATGTAATGTATTTAAGTAGAATAAAGAATGAGAAAGTCTCATTCAGTTTGTTATTTGGTTGGTTTGGTTTGGGAGAGACTAGACTCTCTAATCCTAGAGGTTGTATACAGTTTATTATGTTTATATAATTTTTGTTGCAGTAAGTTATTCCTTGCATAACTGCAATAAAGTATTGTGTTTGGTGTATTATTCTCTCCTTATCTATCAATACTATTCAGAAAATATCATTGATATCAACGACAATGATCCTTGGCACTGGTTCATGGTCCACATGCATCGCAAAATGGAAGCAAGATTGGAATTTCTAGAAAGGGCGTATGAAAGTTTTGTCACAACCAGGGAAGAAATTTAGGAAATGCGCAATCTGATGGAAACTCAGAAATATGAATCGCAACACCGAATTGACAAATTAACGAACTTCTCAAAAATGTCAGCGGTCTCACCATTTACAATGACAACCTAGGCTACGATACCCCTGTAATTGGATAGCATCTTCGCAACTCTGATGAGAAATGGCAGAAACTTACGATTCCCAAATTCGAGGGTCAAGATGCTTTTGGGTGGATTAATTGTGTAGAGAGCTATTTTGATTTAAGGGGTGTCACTGATGAGGAAAAGGTACAGGCTGCAATGATAGCCATGCAAGGAAAATCACTCACTTGGTAGCAATGATAGGAATTTTATTCGCCTTCACCGTCTTGGGACGCTTTTAAGGATGTTTTGATTAAGCGCTTTCAACCGTCAATGCTTCAAAGTCCTTATGAACTGCTCATTAGCCTTAAACAAATGGGTTTGGTGTAAGAATATTGTGACCGATTTGAATTGTATGCATGCCCACTTAGAAGTTCAGAACCAAATTATCTTAAGGGGATTTTTTTCAATGGGTTATGTTGTACCCCAAAATTTTCCCTCCCATTTTTCTTCAAGACTTTCTCATGAGGTCCTCATTTGCTCAAGGATGCTCAAGAGTTGATCAGGCAAATTCTCCTCGTAGGCAATGGGCCCATAACTAAGGTTTCATCTTGCACAAGGAAGAATTGGTTTCAAGGGTCTCAAGTGGTTTCCATGGTTCTCCATAGGTCTTCAACAATGCTCATGTCATGTTTCAAGCCTTGCATCACATGTTTCCTCAATCAATTGCTCAGATGATTGAAAATCAATTATATTGGATAAAAAGTCAACTATGGTCAACATACAGTCAAACATCAATATTTTTGGTCAACATTAACATTTTGAATTGATATTCATCATTTGATCAAGGGTTGATCATGATTCCTTAAGAAAATCCCTCAAATCATCAAAAGTCAAAAGTTGCCAAATTAGGGTTTCCTTAGAAGAAGTCAACTGAATTTTGACCAAGCATAACTTTCACATGCTTCATCAACTTTTTTCCTACCAAAGCCCATTTTGAAGAAAATTCAATTCCGTACAACTTAGTATCTATATGATCAAGTCCAAAAAGTGCTTCATTTGAGAGATATGAGCCAATATATTACATGTCATTTTAAAAGTCAACAAGAAGACACTTTTTGTCAAGGCAACTTACATCAAGATAAAGTCTCCAAATGCAAAAATGATAAAAATAGAGATTGTATAGGACATCTTGAGCTTTCCAAAAATTCAAAGATCACCCTCAAAAGATGAAAATTGGGAGAGTCATGACCAGTGCAAGTTGGGAAGTTTTTGGTAAAATGCATGGAATGCAAAGTGAGAAAACTTGAAATTTTGAACTAGTGGGCCTAACTTTTAATGTTCAAACATGTTCCCAATGTGTTAAAGGACCTATAAATACATTCACATATTTTTTTATGATTTTTATTTCTTTTATTTGAATTTTTATTCATTTAAATGCAAATAAATCAAATAAAATATAAAAGCATTGGGCCAAGGCGCATGGGATGTTAATTTCAATCACATGGAGGCCCAAGAACACATGACAAAAATGCCAAAACCGTGAAAGCATGTTGGGAACAAGAATCTTCAAGTTTGGAATGTTTTTTAACAATTTTGGAAAGGTTTCAATGTGTTTTTTTGCAATGAATTGTGACATGATGGTACAAGATTCTTGTCTTATTCTTGTTCCATTTGATTCCTCTGTAAATACATGCAATACTCAAGTACAAAGGAAATGAAATTTGCCTCTCAAGAACACACTCCAAATTTCTCAAATTTTGTCAAAACTAGGGAAAACATAAACCCCTATTTCTGGCCACTCTCAAGCGGTTCCAAGCATTCCATCCTACTCCTGAAGTCCCAGGAGCCTTTTCCAATCCTTACTCATGCTCACGCGATCCCAAGATGTGCCAACCAAGTGGCTATGGCTTAGTAATATTCTTCAATTTCAAACTTTTCATCCATTCTATATAAATTAATTCTAAGTATGTGTGTGTGTGTGTGTGTGTGTGTGTGTGTGTGTGTGTGTGTGTGTGTGTGTGTGTGTGTGTGTGTGTGTGTTTCTACTGAAGTCTGGAACCGTTTGGAACCATCGTTTTTTTGAGATTTGATGCAGGAACAACAATCCACCATTGTTAGGCCAACGTTTCTATGAAGCTTCGGGTTTATAGCTACGGTCACTTTTAGACCAAATAACCTCATCACCAGATTCACAAAGTCCAAATTAGTGGATCTGAGTGGTTTGATTTTGTTGTTTGAATCTTTTTGTCAATAATCAGTTTTGACATCTTTTTTATTAAATTTAATTAACATTTTTATTTATTAAAATTAATTAGAAACAAGTAGGTTTTAATTATTTAATTAACATCAAACTATTTTCCATAAAAATACAAAAAAAAAACATTTCTTTTCTAACATTCTCTTCTTTTTTTTTTTTTGCTATTTAAAATTCCTAGAGAAATCGTATAGGTCGCACAGTTTAAATGTAAAAAATTAGATTTACATTCTCGCACTTTTTCCTAATTATGTAACTATACCAAAGCCCTGTAATAGTTGTAGGCCTTTACTTTCTCTCACTTTACTTTCCGCATCTTTATTTTTCTGCACTTATAATTATATGCTTGTATATATAATTAGTAAATAGGCTTATATGGCAAGATTTAAAATCAATCAGTAGATAACTCCTAACTAATCAAGATAATATAACTGAACTGAACACACTATGTACACATACACCTCTAGGGTAACCTCCCTTGTTGCCTTCAGATAAAAAACAGTCACGTCCCTCGAACATAGGGATACCATTAGCAGAGACCCTCGGTTAAAAATCATCATAAAGATCATAGTCCCTCGATGACCCATCGATTTTGCCTTCGATAAATGATCTTGTCCCTCGATGTTGTCTACGAATACATGATGATAGTCCCTTCGAATTGCTAAAGGTATCCCTATATGTTGCCTTTATGACTGTACGATGAGCCACGCCTGTCCCTCAAACATCCAACGATAGGGCTTCCTACTAACTAATGGTAGGAAAACACTATCTAAAGGGGGAGGAAAAGAACAAAAATTTTTTGAGTAGGTAGATAGTTCTTAATCGCTTGCTCACGAACATTTCAAATTTTTTTCACAAAATACACTTATCTTATGAAATCTTTTCAAAAAAGCAAACACTTTATGCGTTCTCAATGATACGAGAATCATTATAAAGTTTGCCGAACTTAGGCATTTTCAAAATATTTTCAAACTTACACATTCACAAAGCATTTTCAAATGTGAGCTAGCGATTAAGAGCCCGTAGATAACTACGGATGAAAAGGGTGTGAACACCTTCCCTTTTCATAACCTATCCCCCAAACTCAGAAAAATCTCGAAGGTCTTTCCTGTTCTTTTCACCCTTTCCTTTATTGGATAAAAGAAAAGTCGGTGGAGACTCTTGCTATCCGCAACATTTGCAATAAAATGCAAAACCAAAAAGTCAGTTCTCCCACCGTATTACAGAACTGGCGACTCTGCTGGGGTAAAACTAAAAGTGGGGTTACCTTAGAGTTAGATCACATTTAAAATGCTTTACTTTCTTGATTTGTATGCTTTACATTTCAGGGTTTTCCTTTGGTTTTTGTAAAGATCCTATACTCGGATCTAGGGACGTTTTAGGTAAGTAGCAATAGATCGTGAAAACTATACGATGTATATCGATACAGTTGAAGTGATGACTATGTTAGTGTGACACATTGGTTGGTGCCGATGTTCCTTGAGTTAAGTCAGAGAGAATGTTGGGCTGCCGCGTGGTGTCATAAAGTACTAACTGACCGTAGAACCTTAGTTGACACAACTTAGCCATTACAAAATAGTGAGATGGCTGGATTTGGTGCAGACTAAAGTTGGTTGATACTCAGTGCTACACTCATTGAGATCGGATTCTCGGGATATTTCAATCGCAAATCAGTTGCTTGTGCTGAAATAATGCATGGGATAAAGATCATTGATATTGAGGAGGCTCCTAGAACCCGGTTACTTTTCTTAGGACAGGTTGAGCCAACTAAAACTCAAGAGGGTACTTACCTACAAACTACATGCAAGCCTGAACCTAAGGCTACTTGTGTGATTTGTTTGAATTCATTATCTAACAACGTGAATTCCTTGCAGGACTTGTTTGTATTCGTTATCCAATAATTTGGACTTCTTACAAGACTTACTTGTTTTCACCACCTTACAATTTTACTTGGTGCATAGCATACACATCATGCCATAACATTTTCGTTAACCATTTCAAGGATCTCAAGGGTCTGTGATGCAGGCTTATTATGAACCAGACGTCTAGAAAGGGGAAAGACGATTTATTTTCCTCTAACCAAATTCCATCAAATAATGAAGTACATTATCTT